TTTTGAGTAGCAATTAGGGGGGTTTTGTTGTGAAAACCTGGCAACCCTGGTCACGTTTATTGACAGTGTAAAATGATTTACGATTAGCCGTGTCGGAAATCCAACCACGGATTGGCATGTTGTTATCTCAGAAACAGGCTCAACCATCAATAAATCAGGTAAACTGGTTATTTATTTATGTTTCAGTATAATTACGCACGCTATACCAGGGGCGGTTCTAAACCCTTTTTAGGTGGGTTTCAAGCCCCCCTATCTGTCACCTTAGTTGGATGTTGGGGGGGCGCGAGTGAAATTAGACCAATTTTGGGGGGCGCATGTCCTAAAAGGTTGAAAACCCCTGCATTAGACATTCGGGTTTTTTTTGCCAATTAGCCTAAACTCTTTGCGGCTGTTATGTTTTGAGCCCAAACTAACTCGGATAGACATAAATATATGCCCTTTACGTGGCACAAGGCTTAATTTCTAGGGGAAAAAAAAAAAAAAATTAACACGATTTAAATTAATTAAACAAATTAACTACGTGACATTAAAATATAAAACCAATACTAAAATGTTCGGAAAAACATCCCTGTTATTGTACAAATTAGACCAACTTGGGGGGGGCGCATGTCCTAAAAGGTTGAAAACCCCTGCAACATACATTCGGGTTTTTTTGCCAATTAGCCTAAACTCTTTGCGGCTGTTATGTTTTGAGCCCAAACTAACTCGGATAGACATAAATATATGCCCTTTACGTGGCACAAGGCTTAATTTCTAGGGGAAAAAATTAAAAAAAATTAACGATTTAAATTAATTAAACAAATTAACTACGTGACATTAAAATATAAAACCAATACTAAAATGTTCGGAAAAACATCCCTGTTATTGTACAAAGCTCCGTTTTTGGAATTACCATTTTATGTGTTTTATAATAATTTTACAACTTTTAATGTATGCAATAATAGAAATCCATTAAATGACAACACCATTTGATCTAAAGGCATCAAAACAACTGTAAAATATTCAGAATATTATTCCCTATAATGCACAAGGCTTGGTTTTTCAGATTATGCCTTTATTG